AATGCTATTATCTTCTACGATACAACATGATATTACGTTAGTATTACAAACTAGTTGTTGTTCGCGATTTCGTCCCCGTGAAATTAAAACAATAATAAAATATAGCCTATGTTACTCAGTGGTAACGTAGCTTTTTAATGGTGAAAGAATGATTGAAAACGGCCTAGTAGTTTTTGAGTTATTTCAATACATACAAAAACACAAAAATACAAATCTTTCTTTTTCATAATGATAGTATAGATAAGGAAAAAAGAAGATTTGATAAGTGCATGATACATCGAACAAGGAACAATAGAAAATGATAGAACAATTCTCAAAATTATGAGTACTCTATGTGCGTGTAAATGCAAGTCATTTAGATTTAATGAACCAAAAGAAGTTCTAATAGTTACAGCTCTCTTTTTTGTTTTAAAATCCTTAGCTCGCATTCCATCACATCTTAGATTTCTATCACAACGCTACATGAATTTTTAATCTTAGTTTAAAAAGTATAAAATAGTAGCTTTCGCCCGCCACTCGAAAATTAGCCTATGTGTCCTTCCAGACTATCTTCTACATCCATGCCAAATTTCATCGATATCCCTTCAACCGTTTAGGCTACAAACTCTAACAAACATCCATCTATCTAAACTTTCGCATTTTGTTAACTGAAAATAAATGTGATAGTCGGTGGATTTAGAGCTCGCAATATGTCAATCACTTACCTCGGTAATAACATTACCCGAGTGACTTTAACTTACCTTTCCCTACCACCGAAATAAGTAATCCATATTAGTGGGGAGTCATTTATGGTAGGTGTGCACAGTATCTTTTGACCACTGGCGCAGTGTAGTGTTACATTCGGACAGTAAATACAGACTAATATCAACATGTGCGGGGAAATGGGCAAGGCGGTGCTGCGAGCTCTGACGGGTGCATTACTCTGTGGTTTGGTCTCTGATGCCGCGTATTTACAAGTAAGATTTTGCTTTCTAAACGGATTTAATTACATTTTTAAATACTTTTCGTACAAATTTTTTTAAGCTTGCTGTTAACATGCCTTGTTACAACGGACCTCCTACTATTAACAAAAAAAACTATATCCATAGAACTAAAAAAATCGAAATATTTTTATATTACGTCAAATGAGCAACAAAGAAAGCGATTCTTGTTTAACTCTCGAATTTTCTCATTCCGATATCGCAATGACCTTTTTTATCTTCTTTCGCTTACGCTGGGGAATGTATCGAAGGGGAAAGTGCAATTCCCGATATTTTATTTCTTTCCTTTCATAAGAAGTAAGAGTCAATTTAAGGGGAACCTGTATCAGGTATAATATTGAATTGAACCATATCGATTACATCTTACAAGTTTTGTAAGTTTCTGCTTACCTTTTTTATTTAAACACATTTAATTAAAGTCGTTATCGAAATGTGGCGTTTCATTTTATAACTACAAAAACATAGCAAGGTAGACGTAATAAGAACTCCAGTTAAAAGATCAAACGACGCACTTTATAAAGGCAAGAAAAAGCGCTGGAAAAAAGAAACATCCTGTCCAAGGTGCGAATTTGCGAGATTACAACAGAATACCAATTTGGCGGCGCTGTGGAGTTTTCAAACAATTTCCACTTTAAGGAGCGTTGATCAAAGAAATAAAACTAAAAAGCAGAACTCCACCAGCCGACGAGAATGAAAGTAAATTTAACCAACAGTAATTCGCCTTTGAAGGGCTCAAGGGAAACACGAAGGAAGGAAAATTGCGAAAGTTAGTGTTCCCTTATGAGGCGGCAAGTTATTGCTCCTAGATATTTTAAGGTCGCAAACGACTCTCAATTTTATTGCAATAACTTTCTTCTAAACGTCCAATTATGTCAAAACTTCACCCAACTCCGCTCATAATTTTTGGATCTCGAGTCATTTTTGTGCGGATCGCTTCCGGTCGTTGCTTATAATAACCTAAAAGTTTAACTGATTTATTAAAAAAATAATAATATGCTATTAAAAAAATAGTAGCGACTTTGTTA